CATTTCTTGTGGCCAAGACCAGTCTCCCCCCATCACCCAGATAGGTTTTATGGATACTTCCTGAGAAAGACACCATTTGATTTGAGAGGGCTGGGAAAAGTTCTCCTCAAACACAGGCAGTGGGGGACAAAATGACAAGGGCCAGCCAGCACATGAGCAACTCTAAAGAGCAGAGCAAGTTTTGACCCAGTCTTCCCCCTATTCCTGACCCTCTCAGTTCCCAAATCCCCAACTGAGATAGCAGCATAGAACTTTGCTGTAAAAGCAGTGATGAGTGGGTACAACAGTGTTCCTGGAGACAGAGCACACCAGGAGAAGATTACCTTCTTTTTGCAGCCACATGAGATTGGTGGCCCTCTCCTTGCCTTTGAGCCACCTTCCCACAGCATCACACTGAATGTGTCCAACCTCTCCCTTTAGCAGCTAAGTGGGGATAGCAAAGCCCTGTCCCACTGGGCTTGAAGCCACCTGCAACCACAAGGCACATTGGCTACATGAAGAGCTCAGGTGCCTGGCGACATGGTGCTGGAGAAACAAAAACACCTTGTCCCACAGCGTTACGGTGAATCTCACCATTATACCCCACTCCCACAGCATATGCAGTATCAGCACCAGTAAAGATTTGTGAATATTTGCCTCAATGCAAGCAAGGAAATGAGAAACATTCCTGTTTTACAGAGGCACAGATGGTAGTATTTTGCTGAACTCACAGCCTCCCCGAACTGTCCTGCGTCTTAAATATAGATGCATCCTTTCCTAACCCTACAAAATACCCAAGCAATAAACTTTAGTGAAAGACACTGTCACACACTGAATATGACTCCATTTCCAAAGCTGTAACCACCTGATTTTCATCATAGCACAGAGCCAAATCTTTTGCCATAGGATCACAGTCTGTCATGAGACCACTTCAACAGCAGTTTAGTAGCATTTCCCAGCAGCTGAGCCCCGCCTGAGCAAAAAGTCCATCTTACCATGGGTTGAGCTGTCAGCCAGGATATGTAGCCATGTAAATGGAAAGGGGAGCTGGTGATGAAAGCTCCCTGCTCTAACTTTTCAGCTGCTTTATTTACTCACTTTAAGGGGAGGGAAGAAAAAAAAAGAATCAAGGAAGTAATGTTCCTCTCCCAAGGTGCACTGCAAAACATTCTTGGTAGACATGGAAACCCCTGGAAGGCTGCCACCGCTTGGCCAGCCTCCACATTAAATTTCAGTGAGCAACTCAACACTTGAATGGCTTTTAGAGAATTTAAAGGGAAACAGCAGCCATGGATGGGTGATGTGGCTGCTGCTCCCCATAGGCAAGAGTTAGGGATGTTCCTGAGTTTGCCTCCAGCTCTGTGGGAAAGCCTGTTGTGCTTTTGGGGTGCACAAAGCAGGCAAGTTATGATGGAGCCAGCTGAAAACAAATGCAGCCTCCACTCTTCCACAAAGGAGGTTTCATAGCCACAGTCCACAGGGTCAGAGGGCAACCTTCAAATATCAAAAGGGTATCTGCAAAAATGAAGGGAAAAAACATTTCACCATGGTCTAGGGATTAAACTGCAGCCAAAGGTATTTACAAAGGTCTGTTCCTCCCTTCTCCTGGTTTTGCCCCTCTCCTGTCTCCCAAATATCCTCTCCTACCCTAGGGATGGCCTCTCTTTGCTTGTGGTTGGGCTGAAGAGAGATGGGGATCTGGTGTCGTGTCTCCTTAGAAATCTCCAAACATGTATGAGAGCAGGCAAGCACATGGGCTTGAGAACTCGTTGCTCTGGGGGAAGAGCAAGGAAAGCAGAGAAAGCCTGAAAGTGATTGCTGGAGGGTACTGGTGATTCTGGGGGTGGTTGGACAGAGGTGATCCCACACTTGAGCAGGAAAGGAGACACTGCATCTTCCGCAAATTGCTTATTCCCTCTCATTCAGGAACATTCATTCTGCATGGCAAAGGGTTATTTCTCTCTAAATGCTGTAAATCTGCACAGTGCTCAGCATCATAGCTTCAAAGTGCTCTGAAGCACATGGAGGAAGGGAAGCAGCATGAACCCAGCAGAATGAGCAGTGTAACAGAGTTGTGGTGTGCACAGAAGTTCAGTTTCAGATTTCCATCAACAGTGTCTGCAAACAGGTTTACAGCACGTAAGTGAGCATGAGCACATGTGGGACACACAGGTTCTCTCTGAAGATATCAATACCAACAAAGCCAGAATAAAGCAAGGAGACTTACTTCCTCACTCTCATATGCTTGGTGCATTTCCAGGGAGACCAGACCTCAAGTCCCCCATGGTTCATCCATTTGCCCATCATTCTAGAAGACAGATAGGAAAGAAGCCCCATGGTGGGGGAGAAGATGACTCAGGCAAAAGCTACATCCATTTTCAGGGCTTTGACCCCAGGGATCTTGCTGCCACACTGAGAAAACTCTCCTCTTGCAGTTCAAGACTGTGGCATTCCCCCCAACGGCATTGTCACGCTTTTTATGTAGAAACACCACTGCCACAGCGATTGGTGAGGTGGCACATTTAGCAAGAGCCACATTTCCCAAGAGGATGCAAAAGTCACAAGCTATAAATAGGAAGTTGACAATTTTAACAGTGCCTGTGGTTTCACTAAGAGGTTGGTGGTCATCCACTAATTGGTAAGTAATGACATGTGCAGTGTGGGCTATGAGTAACCTTATCCGGTAACGGGTCATTGCTCATAGGTCTGTATATAGGAAAAGATCATTACGAAATATCCAGCTTAAGGGATCAAGTTGCCAAATCAGAAGTAGATGTTTGCATATGAAGCGTTTGTGTTCCTTGTCATAAAAAAAGGATAAAGAAAAAACCCACAAAGCAAACAAAGGAAAAAAAACCCAAACAACAACAAAACCCCCTTGCAAAGCTGAAATAAATAGAAGGCCAACATGAAATCTTATAATTTAAAATCCCATCAGGGGATTCTGCTCTAACCCACTCCAGGAATTTTCAATTCCTCCAAAGAAAAGAAGCTGAAATGAAATCATGAAGTGCTGAAAGATCTGGAGTCTGAAGAAATCTACTACCTTCTTTATCTTTTTTTTTTTCTTTTCCCCTGAAAACTAAAGGAGGCACTCTGCATCAGTGACCCATATATAGAATAAGAAATATGGAGGCTGGGAAAAAAACAGTCAGGTTTGTTTGTGCTATTACTGCACAGCTCTTGGCACAAATGTATCCCAGCAGCGGTTTGGTGCCATGGCAGGCCTGGTTCATGAGCATATAGACAGGAGAGAGTTCCCCATCAGCTGCAGGAAAATCATAGTCTCACTTGCTCGAAAAAAAACTCAAAAAAATCCACACCTCTTGAGGACACACAAATAAAAGAATGGGAGCAGTGCTGAACTCCCAGCTTGTGGGGAAGGCACTAATTATAAACTGCACTCTGGAAATAGCAACCCAGAGGCTTAGGGAGCTTAAACTGTGTTTGACCCAGGATACAGCAGGTGTATTTCCACAAGCTTCTCTTAAGCAGACTATTACTGTGCTCAGACAATGTTTTCTAAGAAGCAGCAGGACTGGCAGCCCACTTTGCTGTGGATTTATACCCTGTAGTTGCATTTGCTGGTGTCTGGCAAGATGCAAGCAGAAACCAAAGCTCTTTATGGCTTGGTTGGTCTTAGCATCTCTGCCCAGTATGGATCCCCCGGGTGTTCAGCAAGGATTGTCCACATACTATACTTATTCCTTCTGTGGGCACTACAACTGATTTAATCCTTTACTCAAAAGCATACTTTTTAATAAGTGAAACACGCAAACTCAGTATCTCCCAGACATTTATCCCTTGGGCAATTTCAGCTGAATTAAAACAACAGCAAAGTTTTAGAAGTCCAGAGGAGAGAAGGTAGAACAGAGGGAGGAGATGGGCAAGCAAAGTATCATGCCCCATTTCCTTAAGAAATCAAGCTGAAAAACATTAAAAACAGCTTGGTGAACCACTGCTTAGGATCTCAGAGTCACAGACTGGATGTTCATCTGGAAAAGGAGACTAAGCTGCACAACTTCTAAAGCAGATTCGTAATTCCCCGACTCGATGCTGCCACCGTCTGTTGTCTCCTGGTGGGAGTTCATAACACAGCGTCCCGCATTCCCTTTCTGCCGCACCTAAAATTTACCCAGATTTTCGGGGCACAGAGTTTCCAGTCATCTCATGAGTGGGAACACAGCAGCTAACAGTCACACCATGTAAGTCTGCAGCGAGCACAAAAGCAGCAGAGAACCGAACTGCTGCAAAAAGGAGCAACGCGCACCATTCCACCCTCCTTTAACCTTCACAACCTAATCAGTAATGTAAACCTTCAAGCTGCCCTGACCTATTTAAGCTTGTAAAATATTAACTTGCAATAGAGCTATTTTTTCTGAAATTTTGCTTAGGTTTCTCTAAGTGCTACAACACAGTAGCAGAAGATATCATTGCTTGTTTTCTTATCTAAAATCAGAGGCTTCTCCAGTAAAGAACATTACAAGAAATTATGAGTATAGAAGAATCATAGAATCCTAGCATACCAGGCCAGAAGGGACCATAAGGATCACCTGGTCCAACCTTTTTAGGTAGAGCAGACCTAGACTAGATGGCTCAGCACCCTGTCCAGCCAAATCTCAAGTATCCAGCACTGAGGAGTCACCATTTCCCTGGGGAGATTATTCCAGTGGTTGGTTGTTCTCACTGTGAAAAATTTTCCTCTTGTGTCCAGTTGTAATCTTCCCAGGAGTAACTTGTGCCCATCACCCCTCATCTTTCCCATGTGACTCCTTGTAAAAAGGGAGTCTCTCTCTTCTTTGTAGCCACCCTTTAAACACTGCAACATGGTGATGAGGTATTCCCTAAACCCTCTTTTCTTCAGGCTGAACTCTCTGCCTTTCCTCATGCAGCTTCTCAGTCCTTGGATCAGCTTTGTGGCCCTTCTGAGGGCCCTCTCCAGCCTGTCCACATCTACCAAAACTGAACGCAGTATTTCAGGTTAGACTAGTAGTATTCCAAAGACAATATAGTAAATTTGTTTTACCTAATCATGCTTCTCCTGATCCTCTTTGTCATTCCGTGGCCAAAAGTTTTGTTTGCTTCGTGGTGGAAGGGCAGTCCAGATCAGAGTCCCATACTCCCTCAAACCCCTCAAGCTGTGCTTTCCCTACCCATCTGATTCAGAAAATTTTCTTGAGCCTGTTGAGCAGCACCGAGCCAGAGGTGGTGGCCCTGCAGTTTTAGCTTCTACAACCTCCTATGCATATTGCTCTTCCCAGTTGCCTTCAGCTTCCTTCAACTATCAACCCCAAGTGAAGCTGCAGACTGTAGTGACACATACACACGATCTTTCAGGATTGAAGGATGCTTCTAAAAATCTCAAGATATCAAGTGCTCATCTATAGTAATGCTGGACTTGCTAGCATGGGGCAGCTATGATGCTGATGATGAATCAGCTTGGCTTACAGCCCTTTTTCATTAGGGAAAGAGAATTCTCTTAACAGGCCAGGAGAAAAACAAGAGCAAGAGAGCTGGAATCAGTCGGGCAGCTGCAGGAAAAAGAAAAGAGAGAGGAGAAAAAAAACCAAAGATTTAAAGTGCCAAGTCAGGTTCTTAATGAGTGGATTGCCTTCCTCTGGGGGAGTGGTGAGAGCTCTGAGCACACGACTTTGCTCCCTGCATCCCCCCCCCTCCTTCACAAAGCCCAGCTTGAGGAGCAGCAGAGCACTGTGTAAGTGACACCCGTCTAATTAATTAATGACTCCTCGGCGTCAGCTCTGTGGCTGCTGGGTTCGAAAGGAAGGCAATAAAGAATGGCCAGGACAGCACGCGACCGCTTCTGGTAAATGCTGAATGCTGCTGAGAGCCGGCTGTGTTATTCATAACCTCCCCTGCTTTGGGCTACAGCACAGAAGTCAGAGATATACTGGGAAGAGAAGATGGCGTGGGATCCACCCTTGCAGCATCCTTTCTTCTGGTTGAGGTGTTCCTCCCTCTTCTTGTCCTGCTCAAGAGCTGCCACGGCACAGCTAATTGAGGTAAGGAGCAACTTTCTTTATAGACTAGGGGTTCGGGGTGTCCAGGAATAGGTTTTTTTTTTTCCATGCATGTCCAGGGAGGACAGGTAGGACAGACAGCAGAGAATTTAAGGTGGCTCCAAGGAGTTAGAGGCTTCTTCAGGGGATGCCTGTTGCTTTCCACAGGCCCAGCACTAGAAAGAAGTTGCTTTTAAAATGGCAACAGCTGCTGCTGAGAATAGTCAGCACTTAAGGGCAGCTTTAAGATGACTTGACACAGTGCAAAGGGCTGAAGTCAACAGCGCAGCATTTTCTAGCCCAGTACTAAGTGTTCAACAAGTGCCCCACATGAGAGGTTCAGGGAAAGAAGAGAAGGACCAGATGTGACCCAGGTGATCCTGTCCCTGGATGTACCTACCCAACATTTAGGCTGCATTTTTCTTCTCCTGCATTCTCCTCATTTCCTCTCATTCAGCAAAAAAGTTAACTTTTGTGGTGATGTTCCTCACCCACAGCTCAGTTTCAGAGCTTTCCCCTGAGGATGATGATGTGCTCTCATGCCCCCAGCTTCCTCCACTGAGGCTGGTATGAACCAGTACGGAAGAGCAACTTCACAAGCCAAATCTTACTGTCAGCAGTTTCAGAGGTGAGAATTCTGCCTGCAAGGATAGACCTCCAGAATTACAGCTGCCAAAGCCTGGCAGGCCTGCTGTTTTCAACCTCTTCCTTGCTGTTCCTTGGACTTGAGCCACATTAGAGGCAGCTGCTGTGTTGGTCTGTGGACTGAGCCCCAGTGCTGCAGTGACAACGAGCAGCGTGTTCTTTCAGCAGAGCTTGCTTTGCTCAGATTTCTGGGTTTAGCTAAACTGCTCAAAAATGCATCTGTGCAGACACAGCTGTGTTAAGGGCTCTAACGGACTAGCACAAGATTTTTTCCAGTCACCCCTGGCTGCCCTTCTTCTCACCTGACCTCACACCAGCCAGGTCTGATCTCTGCAGTCTTTGGTCCGTAGATTTTAGCAGTTGATCACCAACACATCAGATGCAATGATAACCTTGCTGAGCTCATGTCCCCACCCAGTCCAACTGTTGCCCCAACTTTCTGCTTGTCTCATTTTAAAGTTAGTTACTTTGGATTTTCAAATGGGTGTAGCAACCCATCCTATCTGTCCACAATATAACATCCCTAAAAAAGCAAACAGGAACCTAAAACTCCTTTACAAAGTCATACCTACTCTACTGTAGACATTCTTCATATTTCTCCAAGCTCTTCAGCCTACAGCAGCTCTCAAGGTGACAAGTGAGGCAGAACTTAGTCTTACAGTGCACATTTCACAAAGCATGCTTCGCTTAACCCAGGGCAACATGCAGACACAGCATCCACCCCACCAGGAAGATGTTCCCTTTCATTATGTTTCACCCACACACACTTTACAGGAATTGTCCTCATGCCAAGAAAAAAAAACAAAAAACAAAAAACAGAAAACAAAGACAAATGGTAAAATTACAAAAATTGTTATAAGCCAGGTGTAATTTTATGGTCTGCTTTACTTATACCAGACTTTCTTGAAAACTTGTCTGCTTCTTTATAGCACATAAGAGGGAGCAAATCTCATCTGGAAACATAAGCTGCATGGCAGGTTAACTATCAAGTATCAAAAAATGAGATTAGATGAACAGTTTCTGTATCTCAAAAAGCAGATGAATTACAGGCTGCTCCAAAGCTCTGCAAGGTGGTTTTACTTCAAATAATTACACAATGTAGTTATCTTGAATAATTCAATTTATGCTAAGCCAGCCCATCAAAGCAGAGAGAAGGTCAAAGGGGCTGGATATTAGAGCCTTTCAATGAGCTCAAAAAAAAATCCAAACAAACAAAAACAATAAACAAAAAAGCCACACAATAAGGAGAAGTAAAAAAACAAGGAGATGCTCTTGTTTAATGGTGTTCAAGTGTTTTCAAATGTGCAGATTCATGTACACTTTCCACTTGGAAGCGAAGAGGCAATAAAAGCCTCTAAATATTGACTCTAATTGCATTGACAAAAAACTTTTCTCTTTCATAGGCCTTTTGGAAGAATTCTTAGTCCCCTGGGTTGAAAGTTAACTGTTCAAGGATTAGCAAGCTACCCCGGCACTGGGTAAATTTGGAAATAGCTCCATGGGCTGCCAGGAAGCTTCCTATAAAGTGTATTGCAAAGGGACCTCCTGCACTTCACCTGGAGCTGTGGACTCTTCTCCAAGAGCCCCTGGCCCAAGTTCCATTGTAGTTTGTACAAGCTTCTGAAGACACACACCCAGTATACCCTACCTAGGCACCCCTATCCTATGCCTCCATATCCTGACCTTTAAAATGCATTCACATGCTCAGACATTAGCAAGTCCTAAACACCTAGAACACTGGGAAAGGCTCTTTTCCAGCATCACACCAATGCTTTGGCACCAAGAGGACTGAAAAATAGAGAGCGCAGCACTCTCCTGTCCCTTTGCACAGGACTACTCAGGCAATGCATTCAGCTCCCATAAAATAATACCCATTACATGAAATGCATATAGCACTGGCCCATTCTCCAGCTTTCCAGCTTCCTCATAATTTTTTCAAGGGACCCAGCTGGGATAAAGTATGCATTTCAAGAAGCAGGCAGCTTATGCAGGGAAGGAGGAATGAGGTGACAGCACAGTTCATACTACTACTGCTGCTGTTTTTGCCCATCAGACCTTCAACATGCTCAAGGGATGCTCTGGAAACAGAATTAGGACACGTTAGGGATGGAGGAACATCCACATATCCAGCACTTCTAGATCATATAAAGGCCAAAATAAACCTCAGTTTCTTGGATTCAGCCCTCTTTTGGACCAGGGCTGAACATTAGCACCATAAATGCTTTATGACTATTTTGTAATCAGCTTAAGGAATAGCCTGCTGTGCAGTGTAACAGGAAAACAAAACTGCTTTGGGACAGCAGAGGGAAATCTTTATGCTTATTTGAGTTATTTTATTGATACTAAGGACTGATAAACCAGTGGAATAGACCACATTTTTCCAGTCATCCCCATATGTTTCATTACTGAGTTCCACGTTGGCATAATTATCTCATTCCTACCCTGAGGCTTTTCTCAGCCAATTCTGTCAAATCGTTATTAATCTCTTAGTATCTGCATTGGAGTTTGGACCTTCCTAATCAGGAGATCAAACTGTCCTAGGAAGTCACACAGAAGAAAATCTTCAAAACCTTTATCAGACCAGAAAAAGGTGCCCTTTCTCTCTATCAAGATAGGAATTAAAGGTGCTTCTGGTTTCATGTCAGTTCTAGCTTGGACTCCTTGGAAAAGCTGCAACACAGACTTGAAAGTAGAAAAGAGAAGAAACCCCAGAACCTAAATTTTTTACTAGTTATGAATAGCTTCAGTGGGGTAAAGGCAGGTCCTGGTGGAGTAGGGTAAGAAGATCACTGCAAGATAAATTGAAGGCCAGTTCAAAGAAAAGGAGGGTTAATTAAAGGTTTTCAGATGTTCTCCAAGACCTTCCACTCTCACATTGCCATATAGACAAATGATATATTTGATACACACAGTGTTAAGTGGAGTTCAGTTTATACTACACTTAGTTGTATATTGATGGGCTCAAGGGACAGTAACCCTCATATGTAGCCTCCAAGTGAATGTGATGGATATGATGCTGTATGCAATGATCTTAGAATACTCATGTGTGATTATAGTTTAAATGAAGGCAGGAAAAATTACCGAGTGGTTATAGTGGACTCCTGAGGTTGATAGCCCATGTGGATGCATAATTTTAGCTTAATAGCTGTCAATAAAAAGAACAAACAAGAAAATAATAGTTCAAGAGGACATATGCAAGCAAAACACATTTGAGAGATGTTAGCTTTAAGAATAGCATCTTTGAGGAAGATACATGTATTTCAGGTAAGATGGATTCAAAATATTACAGAAAATTATAAAAGCCATTTTCTGGAAAAAAAATCTTGTCACTGTCAGAAGAGACAGGCTCAAGAGAGAGGGATGGACTCTATAAAGGGTACAAAGTCATTGGACTATCCCCAACCCAAATCCACATAAATTTAAGGAAAAACTTAGACTTGCTCTCAGAGCATTTGCATTTGTTTGCAGAGAGATTGCATTTAATGTCTCTGCTAATAAATTACCCTAAATGCTACAGCTATGCTAAAGATGCTGCTGTGTCACTGCTGCCATTATCTGATGAAGAGAGGCTGCAGGGTCCAATCTGAAATCATTATTCATAGGACCATGAATTGGTCCAGGTAGGAAGAAAATGAGGCTCCCACTGGGAACAGGGAGTCTGGAAGTCTGAGTCCACGAAAAGGGTCTGTTTGTCCAGCTCAAGAGCAGCTTTGGCACAAGCAAGCCTCACAACCAGGACAACAGCTATATCTACATTGTAATTTAACACTAACTACTAGATTTACCAGCCATCCAACTTAAATTCAGTCATTTGATCAGTCTTCTTTACTTTTTTTCTAAATCATAGAATAGTTAGGGTTGGAAAGGACCTTAAGATCATCAAGTTCCAACCCCCAAATCCTATTACATATGTAAGTTAAGATATAATGTATATTATATTAGGTATTCCTGACCTGTAAAGCCACAGATGAGTTATCATTACTGTATTTTCAACATTGCATCTGGACTCTGCCAGGGCTTTCCCACCATTGCAGGAGGTGTTGATGGCCTCATGAGATAAGTTTTGCCTGCATGGAGGTCCATTGTCAGATTGTCCATCTCCTTATGGTTACTTGGAAGGAGGAGAAGGGAGCAAGCACACGTGCATTTATTTCAAGATCAGTTCTTCCAAAACATCAGTGGCCTTTAGATATGTGTAATCAAATGTAATTAGGAATAAACACTGTTAGTTTTCAAAGCCCAACCATGTTGCAGGCTATGAAGTCAAGCCTAATTAGAAGGGGCATTTATAAAACAGAAAAATAATAAGGAAAAAAAAAAGAAAAAAAGGAAAAAAGGCCTTTAAAAACAGTGCCTTT